GCTGCTGATGCCTGAACGGTATGTGGAATGAAGTGGGCGGGCATCGGGAGGCCACTATGGCACGGGGCAAGCATTATGGGCAGTCTATCTGAAGTGTACCTGGTGTATAAGACGACCCCCCACTTGGAGGCATATTTTTCAGGGCCAAAAAATCGTCTTATACGCCGGCAAATACGGTACATTTCAGAAGTCCTAAAGTGACCTGTCTGTACAAATCAATGCTTACCTCTTAATGAACGTCTTGTCTAAAAGAACTTAAGGCACAGGAACAAATAAAACGAAGAGATTTCACTGAAGCAGGAGACGCAGGCCAGGAGTCAAGTAAAGGTTTACCTTTGCATCAGAATGTTAGACCTTGCAATCTGCATATACAGAGCATTCAGCAACGTTCACTGGCATTATGATCAGAGCAAGATCAAATTATGAATGTCATGAAAGAAAACACGATGGTTGAAACTGGAATACATACTTGTATTATAGAGATTGCACATAAATTAAACAGGACTTAGTGAAACCAAAGTATCAGTCATCATTTAAAAAAAATAACACGGGCATGTCTCTTAAGTGCCAAAACAGAGGTGTCAGGCTCCTTTTAAAAAGGTCTTAAAAACACATAAAAATACCTTTTAAAACACAGGTATGCATTCTTTATTGGAACAGCACACGGAGAGAGAGTTAAGTGGGTCACACGGTGACCGAGAAAGCACGGAGATCAGAGTGGCAGTCTTCTGATCGCTATTTGGCATTTGACTGCAACTGCATGCGACAAAAATGGGAAAGGAAGAATGACGGAGTCAGCCGGCGCTGTCTGGCTTTGTACAACGGACGCTGACCCAAGGGGAAGGGGAGAGCAACAGTCCAGGGTGCACGACGGAAGCGTGAGTCCCCGAGAGCTCACGAAGACTGTTGGAATTGGGCGTGGGGGTGGGCTTGGCAGAGGCCCCGAGGCTGCAAACAGGGCCACCAGGAAAGGCAAGCACTGTCCCCGCCTGGGGAGGGGAGCCTATGTCCAAGGGACAGTGGCTTCTGTGTTGTTTCCGGAACTGGAAGGGCCAAACCAGGTCACCTGCAGAGGACACAGGTGGGGGGAGGGCCCAGGGGGCAGAAGTGCACATGAACAGGGCCCTTTCGCAGAGCGCTCTGAGACGTCTGCCTCAGCTCCATACACGAGATGCCAGTTAGGACATTGAAAGGCGTGGGATTCTGATTAAGGCTCTTAGATTGGGACCCAAATCCATGTCCCTTAACTTTAACCTCCCAAATAAATGATGAGTTGCTTTCATCACAAGCAGCCAGCTGTGTCTCTAGGATTGGTGCTGAACGACAGCTCCGGTCTCTCTCTTCTCCTTTTGTCAAAGACAGGCTTTGGGCTTGGGGTTTTAACAATGAAAGCAGACGGGGAGAATTGGCAGGTCCTGCAAAGCTCCCTCCGTTTTCCTCTTCCACCCAAGCGCGTGCTCACCGTGCTGAGGTGAGCGGGACGCGCTCAGCAGCGTGTACCCCAGGGCCGCAGCCAGGGGTGATGGCCGAGGTCACAGAGTTGTGCTTTTGTCCTTCCAGTGGGCTGCCTCCTCTGGCCCTTGGGTGGGGCTCAGGGGTGCGGCAGAAGCTTGGTTACCTGTGAGCCTTTCATCAGAACCTGGCCTAACCCTGGGGGTGCATCTGTGACCACTGGGCACGAACTCAGGAGAAACAGCATAAGAGGGTGCCACCAGTTATCACTGGCAATGTCACATAAGGCCTTTCTATCTCTCTTAAAAAGCAAAAACTGTACGACAAAAGTCCATGGGAAATGCTTTCAGCGTTAGACCAGATGTCTTCTTTCTTATATTGTGCTCATCTGCTAGGTACCTAAGGGCCACTGTGACTAACTTAAACTTTACTACATTCATCCCTTCCCCACTTTTTTTTTTTTTATCCCATAAGCCAATTTTATCTGGCAGTGGGACCATTATTACCCAGTGTCAAAGGTCTCAGTAGTATTTCCATTCAAAAATAAGTTAGCCTTTAAATTAAGGAGTTCTTTTTTTTTAATTAAATATTGAGGAGTGGGGCTTTTAAAAAACTGTATAAATCTAGATTTTAAGATTTCTTTTCTTACAAACAATCTTAGCTTTTACAAGAGATATTTAAATACCAAAATGCTTCTCAGAAAGTTGAAAGCATTTGCCTGTGGTTGTCCTGCTGTTTCCACCAGGTGTGTGCTCCTTGCTTCTGTGGGGCTGGCTTTTGGCTTTATGGGCACATTTGCAAGGGGAAGTGGTTTGGGGCTGAGCCTTCGGGATAGCCCCGCCCAGCAGGGCAGCGCCGCAGCTGTGGCCCAATGGGAGGGGAGAGTGAGAAATACGGGCGGTTTGATCCTCAGCGGGTTTTCCCTGAGCCGGTGCCCTGGGAGCGCAGCACCCATAGCTGCTTTTGCTGTCCCCAAGGCCTTGGCCTTTACATCTCCTCTTATCTAGCCTAGATGGCAGGGGCACAGCCTTGAATAAATGCATTTTTAAGTCTCACTATAGAGTCACCAACTACTCTAATAGAGTTCTAGACCTGGATTCAGGTTGCAAAGTCCTCTCTGATTTTTAAAATGTAAAGGTAAACCACGTGGGTCGAGACTCAGACTTTGCAACATCCCCATTTACATTGTATCTTCGGGAATAGTGTGCCTTCCAAAAACTGCTGCTCAGGGCTGTGAAGTCAGGGCTGTAAAGAAAGTCAATTTTCAGCTGATTGCTGAGTCCTCCACTGCTTTCTACTGAACGTTGAGTATTTTGCATAAGCACATTTGGCATATTAAGATTTATAACATTTAGAGGTGCTGAATGTGTGAAATTAAGTGATATGAATCTAATGAAAAATTAAAGTATTTACTGATATTAGCAGAAATATATATGTTATGGGATATTATTTGACCTTAATACATAATTCCAGTTTTTAAAAGGGGTATTTAAGATGTAACAACTTTACAGCAGGTGGCGTTTAAAGCATAACAAAATATATACAAAGAAATTAGGGAGGATATTAACATCAATTGTGAAATAAATTAACATGATTTTTTTTTTTACAAAATATACTGACCATTAAATTAAAAAATATTTTAAGGCAGAAATTTTCATTTGAAATTAGCATAATCAGAAAATATATCAATAAAATCTTGTACCACTTTGTAGCAGAATTCATACTGTTCCTGAAAAAGAAAACCAAGAATGCATTAAAATGATATTTTTTAAAAAGTCTGAATAATTTAATTAGGAAACACATTCCAAAAGAAGACAGAAAAAAGCCTGACTATTTATTAAAATACCGTCTATCCTCCTGCATGTAAACTCCTGTTACATAATTTAGTTTGTAGGCATATGCAAATTTCCAAATAAAGCTGTTTTTGCACACAGAACATGTCAATGTTTAGTTTCAGCTTGGCTTAGTGTATTTTAGAACAGTCTTTAACTTTAGAACAGAGGAAAGGGTCTTTAGTTTTCATATTTAAATTGGAAAACTATTTTTGCACTGAAAAAAATCAGAGTACTTAACAGCACAGGTGATACCACATAATACCATTGCCGCTATGACAAACTTGCAGACTCTGGAGGCAGACAGACTGGGTCTGAGTCTCATTCTGACACTTAGGATCTTGGGCAGGTGACAACCGTCCCACGTGGGGCTGATGGCAGAATGTTCCTTGTGAACACAGCGGACACAAAGATCTGGTGAGGACGAAATGGTAGGTGCGTGTGGAGCACTTGGTCCCACAGCCCCGACACCAGACGGTGGTTATCAGTAATGACGGCCCTGGCGATCCTTTGTTCACTTGCTCACCACTTAGTGTGTGCCGGGCATTAGGCTAGGCGCTCACTTTCAAAGTCAGCTTCCAAATGCTCTGTCAGACTATGTCACCAGGCCAGAGAGCACAGACCTGAGCCAGAAGACCCCTGTGTGGGCAGCCTCCCAGTAAGGGGACTGACAGAAGCCACAGTCAGAAAGCGCAGGTTGGAGACAGGAGGGTGCTCGGAGCTAGATGCTCCTGGAGATATGCAATATTGGCCAGACCAGGTGATTTACGAGAGAGCTGAGAGCCGGGCGCCCCTAACAAACCACAGAGGCATTCGGATTCAGACGAGAGAGGCTCTGTGCTATAGTTCAGGGGGCTGCCTGGCCCAGGCACTGGGGGTTCGGGTGGGGGTGGGGGCATATTCAAAGCGAATTTGCACAGCCACTCTAAAACAGGTGCCATCAGCCCACAGGTTAAGGAACTGGAGAGGAAGGAGCCTGTCGAAGTTCACAGAGCCACGCGGGCATCCAACCAAGGAGCTGGGATGACAACCTGAAGCCCAAGCGTCAGAGGGTCCCCTCGGCTCATCTTTCATACATGACCGCCGGCCGCCAGGACTAGATCTAATGGCTCTGCCTGGGGGAAGCCTGGAGGAGGCTTCAAAACAGTCAGGAAAGAAACTGAAAACAGTCTGGCTCATATTGAAAGACTGATTTTTGTCTTGAGGGGGGCCATATTTATTATTATTGCTGTGATCTAGAAAAATCTTCCATATCTTCCATGGAATGGTCGTCTGCCTGGCGATGCCCTTAGGAGGTGGTGGCTGTTGGGAGGCAGACATACGCACTAGGATGAATTGGGGACCTCTCTAGCACCCTCCAGAGCCCCAGCAGGAAGAAGCATGGGGACTGGGACGGGGGCTCTGTGGAGAGCCGGGGGGTCCTGGGCATGATTTCCTCCCATTCTTTCCCACACTGCTCTCCAGGTGAGCTTCCCAGTCACAGCCTGAAGGCGGGGGGTGGGATGAGGGGGAGCCAGCAGGCACCCAGTTTCCTTCTCACCCGGTGGCTCTCAAACCTGTATTCACTGGTGGCTCTCAAACCTGTATTCACTTTGGGTCCCCCCCCCAGGGGGCTTTACATATGCTGATGCCTGGGTCCTACCCCAGAGATTGTTTAACTGGTTTGAGGGGCAGCTTGGCCGACTGGGGGGACAGGCTCAGCTGATTCTAGCTGCTGTGCTTCCCCCACGATGAGAATATGAGAAGGTCATGGAAGGGCCCTCCTTCCACCCGTCTCTGCCTGCCTGAGTCAGAATCCTGTTGGGGAGAAGATGAGAGGGATGGGTGGTGTGGGGGGCGGACAGCGGGGGGGGGGCAAAGACAGGAAGCCTTGTGGGAAATGAGTTCTAACAGTCTTTGCAATTACACTTGCTGGTGTCCGACTGTCAGGTTTGGGGAGGAGGTGTCTCTTCTGAAAATGCGAAAGTGTGTGTTTTCACCACGGAAAGAAAGAGAACAGAGGCCAACTGTGCATCATGTGAATTCCTTACCTGCCCTGCCTCGCCTCCCCCCAGCACAGTATCCGGAGGTTGAATGAGACCCAAAAAGTAAAACTGTCCGAATGGAATCGGGTGAGAAAGTTACGAGTACTAGGCTTATGAACGTCAATGGTGCGTTTGAACTTAGTAACAGCACCGTGCTTTCATGTATGTTGGAATCTGGTAAAATAGTTCACTTTGGGATATTGTCAGTGTTCTGTCCCAGAGGTCTTAGTAACTGAAAGTCACGGGCGAGCCCCTCCTCCTGCGTCCTGGCCAGGGGACGGATCCCAGCCAGACTCAAAGAAGGAAGGGGGCCTGGAAAGCTTTACTGTGAAAAGCTCCAGTTAGCTCTTTCCCTTGGGGATTTACGTCCCACCCTCCCCAGGTACCTTTAATGAAACATCCATCAGACGCAACATGAAATAGTTCTCCACTCATCCCTATCAGTCAGCTTCTTACCACGGTTTGCACCATGTGCGGCCTCTGGAGCCGTAAACTCTTCACAGCTTGGAACACGTCCAAAAGCCCCTCTGCCTTGACTCGTTCCAGAATGTTGCTGAGTGCTATGAAGGTACCTGTTCGGCCCGCTCCAGCACTGTGGAGAGAAGGGGTTTAGAGAAGCAACTGGCGGGTGGGGACGCGAACCAGGCGCCTGCCCTAACCCCGGGCACTGGTACCGAAGCACCATGGTCGGAGCTGCGATTCCTAACAATCATTTACACATTTACACACAGCTTAGCTTTTGACCAAGAGGCAGCAACATAAAGCTCCTAAAACGCTCGCCTAATCACAGCACACAGGTATCTCCTGAGGGGGATCAGAACCCACTGTAACCATTTCCTGTGTCTTCCTGGTGTACCCCAGTTCTCAGAGTGCGGCACCCGACTTGCAGCATCACCACTGCCTGGGGACTTGTTTGAAATGCAAAGGCTCCCGGTTCAGGTCTAAAGAGAGGCAAGGAGGCTGACTCCAGGCTCCTGCCCCTGCAGTCACCTGTCCCCGCAGTCACCTGTCCCCTGCAGTCACCTGTCCCCGCAGTCACCTGTCCCCTGCAGTCACCTGTCCCCGCAGTCACCTGTCCCCTGCAGTCACCTGTCCCCACAGTCACCTGTCCCCGCGTCTGCCCTGTGAACCTTTTCACCTGTGTATCTCTGGTGCCCAACTCAGGCTGGGTCTTTGGAGGCAGAACACAAAGGAACTCATTACTGGTTTGTTCTAAGTGACATCTACAGGGCACCAGGGACTGAAAACGGAGGCGTATGCTCCCCATGCTGACCCTGCCATAAGTGCACCCAGGCGGGTCCCAGGCAGGTAGCCCTCCTGCGGTGCTGAGTCAGCAGCACTGACTCATTTCCTCATGCCCAGGGGAGAGGTCGGGAGAGGCGGGACTTCAGGCAGAGCCAGAACAATCTTTCAAAACGAACACAAGTACCTTGAAGTTCAGAAGTGGGTTTGTCCGAGCTGTGCATGGTGATTTTTTTTTATGATGACTTAAAATGTGTGTTTGAACCACCTTCTAACTCCTCCCACCAAGTGCATTCTGCACGTACGCTAAGATGACATTTAGGCATTTACGGAAAGTTAAGAACTGTGTACGTGTGTAAGAGAAGGTCAACGCCGGGAGCTTCCGCGGCTGCGAGCAGTGATGCGGGTGGGCGTGGGCGGGCCCGCCTGCAGGGGGCGCTCACCTGCAGTGCACGGTGATGGGGTGATTGCCCGTCTGCTGTTGCTGCTTCTGCACGGCCGCGATCAGGTCGATCATGCCTTTGCCCTCGGCCGGGATGCCGATCTCCGGCCAGCCATGGAAGTGGAACTGGCGCACCACGCGGGTCTGCTCCTCCTGGCGGGCCACGGGCTGCGGGGGCGGGGGGAAGGGTGCCTCAGTGCTGCCTGGTCCCACAGCCGTCCTCCCAGAAACAGGCCCCACCGACACCTGCCCTGCTCCAGACTCGGGACATGGCTTGGAGCTCCCCGGGGCCTTCGGTGGTTGGCAAAGCCCCCACCTGGCTGGCCTGGGGGTCCCGGTCAGGCTGTTTGGAAGCTGTGGTCACACTGAAGCAGAGGCTGGCAGTGTTTTCTTCTGGCGCTCCCAACAGACCCCGCCAGCCTCCCCTACCAATCCCCGGCAGCTTTGCTTGAGAGAACAGGCACATCTCTTTCTTAAAAAGCCAGGACCGCACATGCCCCTTCAAGGCTTGAGATGAGCAGTTACTGAGTCTAGTGGCCTTGGGTCATTCTGCAGCTGGTGTGGAGGAGACATCTTTGGGCAAGCGGGGTTTCTGCTGTGCTGACCGTCCTGAGCTCAGAACCAAGTCCCACAGATGAGTCACCTTACCTATGACTACTGACCCACAGAGCTCCCATGCTTTGCCAGGGAGCAGAGCCCAGGACCCAGTGGGGACTGACAGGGCCCCTGGCCAGGAGGCCTCTGTGGCTCCATCCATCCCCTTTATGCCTCCTGCCCCCGGCGACCATCGTTTCTCCTGAGTGGGGAGTGGGCGGAAGTGGCCTCTTGGAGCTGCCCATTCTGCTCCCCTATCCTTGTCCTCCAGCAAGGAGACAGGTGCCCTTGCAGGTCCGAATTTTACAGGCAGTTGGCCCCACGATAACATGGCTGCCTGTTCACTGCACTGATCACTGATGCTAATGTGAGGCTCCGGAAAGGTCTGGTGTGAGGACAAGCAGGATCCGAGGGAGGCAGCCTGAGCTCTGTCCACAGTTGACAGCGTTACGGCAACAATACCTGATTGAAAGTGACCAGGAAGTCTCGTATGCTGATGGCTTCAGAAAGGGTATCGCTCTTTATTTCGATGGTGATGTCTCCATGAGTCACTGAGCCCTCTGTTGGCCAATACTGGTAACATTTATCCTTGGGGGATAAAATAAAATGTTAAGTCTTGTAATACATAATTCGCTGCCAGCATTTGAAACTATATGATACAGAATTGCTCTCAAGCCATTTAACGCATTTCATCTGACCAAGAAAATAACATGAATATGAATACGAGTGCCCATTAATGCCTGTTGACCAAGCGAACAGAATAGAGTCCAGAAACGGATGTGTGTATTTGGAAGTTTGATACAGGATGGAAGCGACCTGACAGAAAGGAGAGATTATTCAAAACACAGAGCTGGAAAAATCGGTGTTCTTTGTGGGGAAAAAATGAAACTGGGCCCCTAGCTCACACCCTACCCTGGCTGATATGCATGAAGACCTTATTCATGTTACAACATGGTTAAACCTTGAAAACATTGTGCTAAGTGAAAGAACTCAATCTAAAAGGCACACTGTGTGATTCTGTTTATATGAAACGTCCAGAAAAGGCAAATCTATAGGGTCAGAAAGTCATTTGTGGTTGCAGGGGCCGGGGGAGGGAGGAATGGGGAGCGAGTGTTCATGGTTTGGGGTTTCTTTTTCGGGTGATAAAAATGACCTGGAATTAGCGGTGACATTGCACAATTCTCTGAATATACTAAAGACCACTGAATTGTATCCTTTAAAAAGATGAATCCTATGGTATGTGAGTTATATCTCAATAAAGCAGAAATCAAAGCACAAACTCAGGGTCATGGTGTCATGTTGAGGGAGCACCTAGATAGAGGTACGTTATTGACAAAAGTTTGACTTTTCAGTTAGACGATGGGTTTACGAGTACTTATTTTGTTATTAAATATATATATATAATACAAGAAGGCCATGGAAGGATGACTGGGGAAAAGAAGAGGCACATTTAACTCATCCAGATCGACCAGGACGATCTCAATTAGGTACACACATCAATGCCTCTGTGTTTATGTCTTGAAAAAAGTGAATGAATGTCTTTTTCTTCAGTGAGTTGTGATCAAATGTGTATTTGTGGCAAGCACAAAATGGTGGAATCTGAAGGCAGGCTAAATAAAATGGGGGCTAAGAACAAGAGAGAACGGGTGAGAGGAAGCCTTGTGCATCCCCCGTCCCAGCTCAGTACTGAGGCTGGCGAGACATCACAGTGAGCAGCTCCAGCCACGTCAGGCCGGCTGGACCTCGGCGCGCGCCAACTGCCCCTGCAGCCTGGGCTGGGCGGCACCCTCACCTGCTCTCTCTCCTGGACCTCCGTCAGCATCACGATCGTGTGGCACTTCCACTCCCAGACCATTCTCCAGAAATCCTCCACCGTGTGCGCCAGGGGCCCCTGGGTGGCGATGAAATAGTCCTTCTGTCGGTAGCCCTTTAAATGGGGAGCAAACGTTAAAGGCTGACTTCCTCCCTGGTTCCACTGAGTGACACTGGGGAGTTTAGGACAGCTGGGGCCTGACAAGGGAAACCGTTCTCCTGGCTTGGCCTGAGCTAAGCCCCAGGAGGCGCACACCCAGGAAAAGGGCAAGACGCCCACTCTGTCTGAAAGCGAGACACCTCACCTTGAGGTAGTTTGAATGGGGCTTATGAACCACCGCTCGCTTGCAGCTGCCTGGGAACACACCTGGCGCCTTTGATTCTAACATGTCTCTGTGTGTTATGGCTAAGTTAGCAACATGGTGCAAAGAGCCCTGGGCATAGTCAGAGGAAGTGGGTTCAAACCCCAGTTCCTCCACTCAGGCCCAAGTGACCTTTGGCACAGTTTTCTCATCTGCAAACAGAAATTCTAACACACACTCAGCTGCAGTCTTCAGTCCCACCCATTCTTCAGCTAACTCCATGGTGCGTGCAGTTAACACATATAAAAGCACGATACATTACAAGCAGGAAGAAAAAATAGCAAATTACTTGGCAGTATGTCTCTTTGCTAGTTCCAAAGTTCATTATTCTTTTTTTTTTATGCAAGTAATTCTGCTAATGAAATGGTTTGGGTTTCTGGAGGCAGGTCACCCCTTTCTGATTCTGAAAGCGGGTGAATCAGGAGTCTATGATGAAGGAAACACCCGTCTTGCACAGCCCAGCCAGGCCCACGGGACTTACGTCGATAAAGGACGCGTTGATGTAGTCTGTGTATTCCTGACCCCTTTTCATGGAGAGGATCACGCGGTTAAAGTCATCTGCAAAACAGCGCGGTCCTTTAGTTACTGCTGCGCCATCCTGCCTGCCCGCTTTCATTTGTTGCTACAAACTCTCAAAACTTATTAATAAAATCGCTAAGTAAGGGCAGCCCCTCGGAAACTGTACTTCATAAAATAGGGGAGTTAACGTGGCCCAGAGAAGGTGTGTGTTGTCAGGAAAACTCCGACAATAATCCAGTTGTCATTTTCATCGGTCATGCACTGGGGTAAGTCAGGCCAACATGTAAGCGTTACAAACACTACATTTCAGGAGGAAAAGGAATGTGGCCACCAGGCCGGCAACCCAGAGTAGCGGGCCGGGGACACCACGGCCAGAGAAGGCAGGGTCTGAGGCTGAGGAAGTCTTTGCACACAGTCCCCACGCCCTTTCCACGCACAATGTGGCCTCGAAAGCAAGTCTTTTTATGTGCTCGTGCCATGGGCCATGAGTGCTTCGAGGAGACGTCTGGAATGAGGCACTGCCTCTCCTCCTCAAGGCGGGCCCCCTTCGCTCCATGGTTCCTCTGGTCACAGTGGAGTCCATTCCTTGGCCTGTTTCTTGGATTTGTCTTTCTTCCCCACTGGGTGAGTCCCCTGAGTCCCCACCCTGCTTACCGCAGGCAGGCACCCACTCCTTCCAGGCCCTGCCAGGCCGGTGGCCTTCCCCTACCTGAGGCCCTGGCAGGCCACTGTCCTGACTCCGCCCCTGCTCAGTTCGTGCCCACCCCAAGGCCTTTTCCTGGAAGGTCTCAGCTGAGTTCCTTCAGGTCCTGCTGCCTGGCCTGGGCCACAACCACCCCTCTGTGTGAGGGGGTGCTGTGCCTCCGCCCAGGCTTGGGGGAGGACTGAATGCAATTCAGGATCCAGAGGCCCCTGAGTCATGCCTGGAGCAACTCTCCCCTGTTCTAGGAAGTCCCCTCCCCCACCTCTGAGTGCATGTCATAAGCTGCCCACCTGACACACACAGGACTGCCTGGGCCACTCATTTGCTTCACAGGTGGGCGTTCTCTACAGTGCTTGGCAGAGCCCTGAGCCCAGAGGGTGCCCTGCCCTGGCTTACAGAGGTGGGCGGTCAGTGGACAATCAGGGACCCAGGCCACAGGGTCCTCACCCCGCCCACTCCCCCCCACCCCCCAGGCCGCCTTACATGGGATGATCTGAATGACCCTGGCCTTCTTCATGTTCGCCGGCAAGTTGCCCGTCCTCATGTTCTCCTTCATGATCCGGACATTGGTCAGTTTCTGCAGCCGAGATGGACACAGCCACGCAGTTAGAGCGCTAACGTGCCTGAACAAATAAATCCCTCTGCTTTCTACCATTACTGCCCGGGCACCGATAAAGGCACCACCTAGCTTCCATCTCCAGACATTTCCTGGATCTTGATAAATAAAATGTATGTAAGACACATCCCCTGGGGGCTGCGGCTGAGCTCTGAAAGCCTCGAGGTTATTGCTCCTTCCCAAGTCATGGCCTGGGCAGCCCCCTGCTTTCTCTGGGATCAACCACCAGGTCAGGTGATGGAAAGCAGCGCCATTTCAAGGTCGATCGTCATCCTTTGGCGCCAGTGGGCACTCACCCTGAACTCCTCCTCCAGCCCGATCTTGTCCAGGTGCGTGGTGGTGCCCTGCAGCGTCTGCAGGTGCTTTTCCAGGGAGCACACGTCCAGCTCGGTGTCCCCGTAGAGGTAGTACTCCAGTAAGGCTTGGTAAATGAACGTGTACTGCATCTGTGGAGCACAGGGGCGCCCACACCCTCGAGTGCGCCCTGCAGCCTCTGGCCGCTCCGGGCTTGGCAGCTACCAAGTGGTGGTGGTGGTGTGGGGGGGCTTCTCCTCTTTTTGTTTGGGGGCTAAGTTCAGATTAATGGCCATTTACAGTGACTGTACCCGGCCTTGATTAAAGATCACCTAACAGCCAGCATCCCTGAGGACATCCTCCCCTCCCCCCAGGCACCGTCCTGTACACACCAGGGCTGGGGAAGGCTGCTGGCTTTGCTTGGTGAAGTGCACGCCAGGATGAGGGCGCGGCCAGGAAGGCATTACTCACGTCCGTCTGAACCATCTGAGGACGCTGACCGCGGATCCTTGACACGAACTCGAAGACGTCCACCTTCTGCTCCGCGTGCATCATGTCCATCATGGCATCGATGACGATGAAGGTGCCTGTCCGGCCCACACCCGCACTTCAGGGACAAAGAAAGATGCCGCGTCGTGAGTCACATTCCCCTCAAAGCAAAAAATATGCCTGCACACGAGGACTGAAGGGCACGCCCACCCTTAACTGGGAGACTGACATCTCATCACTTAAACCAACCCTTTAAAATTTTTTTTGGCTAATGAAGAGCAAATGTATGGTGAGGCCACCAGAGGGCGCTGCAATCTTAGTAACATGATCACAAGTTGTTCCTTTAACAAGTAGAAACTTTGTTCCAGTCACATCAAAAAGAGCTGCTCATGTGGAATATGAAACAAAAAGCAACAAACGAACTAATAAAGCAAACAAAACCAAACTCATAGATTGAAATAACAGAACGGTGGTTACCAGAGGGGAAGGGGGGTAGGGGGAGAATGAAGTCCATAAAGGGGGTCAAATGTAGTGACGGAAGGAAGTGAGGCTTCAGGTGGTGAGCACGCAACAGCGTACAGAGATGTCGTTATAATCTTGTAAACCTGAGGGCTTTTTAAAATTCATTGGGGTAATAGTGGTTAATAGCATTATGTAAGCGTTGTAGAGAGCCTTGTAAGGTTGTGTGGATAATGTTTCCTCTATTACCAAATGCTGTCTTCTCATTAGCACTTGTGTAATTGGATTAAAAAAAAATTGTCACACTACATAATGGCTTTTCCAGGTTCTTCATAAGAAAAGAGGCCTCACAGCCTGGGTTGGCTGGCCCTTGAGTCAAGGTCACGCCAGGAGGAGGTACCAGGCTGCTACCTCTGGCAGCCTGCCCTCACCTCGGGGCTGACACCAGCTGGTCTTTAGCTTAGGGCAGTGGGTCTCAACCTTCCTAACGCCGCGACCCCTTAAATACAGTTCCTCATGTTGTGGTGACCCCCAACCATGAAATTATTTTCGTTGCTACTCTATAACTGTAATTTTGCTACTGTTATGAATCGTAATGTAAATATCTGATATGCAGGATGTATTTTCATTGTTCCAAATTGAACATAATTAAAGCATAGTGATTAATCACAAAAACAATATGTAATTATATATTGTGAAATATTTATTTCTAATTACAAATAAATGAAATTTTGTCTTGAAGCCGGGTACTCTTATGTGGGAGTATCTGCACATGGGCGGACCCGCCTGGAGACGGATAGAGGAGCGGTGTCTCAGTTCATAAGACCATCGGAAATATGTGTTTTCCGATGGTCTTAGGCGACCCCTGTGAAAGTGTCGTTTGACCCCCAAAGGGGTCGCGACCCACAGGTTGAGAACCGCTGGCTTAGGGTGTCTGCTGAGAGGGCTCCTCCCTTGGGAAACTGCCCTGAATTGATTCCTGGGTTTGGGTTTCCTTTCTTCCCAACATCGTCCCTGTCCCCCTCACCCCCGGCCTCCCCATCTTGTCTGTATCTCCACCAGATGGTGCAGGCCGTCCATATTTGCCTGCCTGACACGCAGGACTCAGTGGGCACACAGATGCGCTCAGCAAACCTTCCTTGAATGAGGAAACCCCCAATGGCTCAGCCTCTATGTGTGGCATCTGCTAGAGCTGCCCGTGGCTGAGCGGGGCTTCCTCCTTCCGCCCCTGCAGCATGGCCCTCTTGTTACAGAGGAAGGAAAGTCATCTTTCACACAAAAGGCTCACAATGGAATGAATGAAGTCCCTCACGACAGCTCTTGCCATAGTCTCCCAAGTGGTGCTGGGACAGACAGCGGAGACCCCCTTGGACGGACGCCCCCTCTGCTCCGCTGTCATGGGGAGAGTAGGTGAAACATGAGAAGCCCTCTGAGGACTCTCAGTTCTTTACAAGGTAAGAGAAAATCCTCAGGAGCACAGCCAGGTAAAGATGCTCTGCCCACCAGGTGTGTGAAGGGGGCCAGAAAAGCAATGATTGGCAGGTTGGGAGGGGCCCTGAGGCATTTCCGGGACCCCTCTGTTCTGGCCCAGGGCGCATGTGGGAGGTGCGAGAGGAGGCCACTTGGCAGCCGGGAAAGGGACCCTGTTGCTCCCCCATGAGAAGTCCAAGGCCAGGCGGTCTTTCTCTGTGGGCCTTCTGAAACCCACTTTTCCACAATCATAGCAGCAGCTGCCACTTACATGGGTGCAAAGCCACCCCCGATGCCAGTCCCGGGCCCCTCCACGGCTGTCCTTCCCATTACAGACAAGGAAGCAAAGCCTGGGGCGGGGGACGGGGGACAGGAGGACAGCCTCGGGGGGAGACCAGGTCTCCAGGACACCCTGCCTGCCTGGCCCTCTCCTGACTGCACCCTCAGCCCCTCTGAGCCTCATGAACTCTTCTAGAATCACTTGCAGAGCTCTTTGTGGAAGCACAGTCTCCATCACTTGCTGGGGGTGACTTGGGGGTCCCTGGAGGCGATGATGGGGAGGCCTAGGGGACCTGCCAGAACCCACTGCCACCATCAACCCGGGCCTTTGGCTTTTGTCTGTTTTAGATATTGAGGTTCCCCCTCATGTGCCATTGAAGAAAGGACTCTGCTACCACAAAATGTGTGGGCTGGGGTGCTGGGTGTCCCTCCAGCTATCATCCTGAGAGGGTCTCCGGGCAGCCACCTCGTAACCCTGCCAGCCCCTCTGCCCACCTTGGTATGGGTCCACTGCTCACGTTCCCGTGAGCGGCCGAGTCCCCCCCCCCCAACCGCTGGCCCTGGGGGTCCTGGTCATACCTGCAGTGGACCACTATGGGCCCTGCGTGGGTGGGGTTGAGCGTCTTCACTTTTTTCAGGAACTTGAGCATCCCGATGGGGGTGAAAGGCACTCCGAAATCGGGCCAGCTGGTGAAGTGCAGCTGGGAGACCAGCCGTGGGGCTTTGCAGCCCTCAGGGAGCTGCTGGGGGGCGGGCACAGGTGTGAGTAGGGACAGCTCTCCCGCTCCCCCTCCCCCAATCTCTCCCTCAGGCTCCCCCACCAGCCAGGCCTTGCAGCCGCGGGCATGCGTGTGTGTGTGTGTGTGTGTGTGCATGTGCACGTGTGTGTGTGCATGTGTGTGTGTGTGTGTGTGTGTGTGTGTGAGGCAGTGGGCAGCCGAATGACAAAGCTCATCTTCTTCCTGTTTTTGCTGAGGCTTCCAGAAAACTCAGACTCATGCTTTGTGATCTAATCAATCACTCCACCTTTGATTCCTGATAACATAACCTTCTGTTTTTGCTATTTCTTTTTTTTTTATATCTCCTAAATTCCTATTTCATCTACCTCATATACAGGCATCTTTATTGAAGACTGCCCTGAAACGTTTTGGGAGAGAAGTAACAGGAAATAGTAAGTGTGAAAAATAATGAGGAAGTTTCAGATTTAATTTTGAAACTGTTAAAAACAAAACTTCTGCCTCATGATCCCAGTGTGTGAAATCGCACTGAGCTGAGGGGGTCCCCCCACCCGGTGCCCCCCGACTGACTCACTGGGAGCCAGGAGCGGCCAGCACTGTCTGAGGACCTGTGTGTGTGGCCGCCCGTGGTCCTCCTCTCAGACTCACGTCCTCGGCCCACTGACGCCCGCCCCCTACCCCGCCTGGCATGTCTCTGGCCTCGGCCCCCACTCAGCCTTTCCAGAAAGCCGGTCACTTCCAACGCTTACTGACTGGACGCAGAACTTCCGGATGGTGTAGTCCACCAGGATCACGCAGTCCTCCACACACACCCGGATGTTCCCATAGGTCCAGCAGCCCTGGTCCGGCCAGTACTGGTAGCACTTATCCTACACGGAACAATTGCAAGGAAACAGGTCTGAGGGCGCCTTTCATCACCTCATCGCCCCGGCCCCGCCACTGACACAGGCCTCACACACGCCAGGTGGTGTCCTGCAGCTGTCGGAGCTGAGAAAGAGCACGGGAAAGTGTCTCCTTATAAATGGGGACACTGAAGCCGCACAACGGGTCAAGGACTGCTCTGCGTCTGTAACTGGGGCTCTTTCTGAGTTCGATGCCCGCGACGTTTCAGGATGTCATGCATCCAGGGCTGCCCACAAGCCGACTGAACCATCTTGCTGAGCCCACTCCCTGCAGAGCTGGGAACCAACCAAAAGCGGCCCCCAGGCCGGGCGGGGCTCGCAGCTAGCCCCCAGGGCTGTGCGCTCTGCAAACACTGCCCAGTGGGCTCAGCAGCTGTGTCTGTCCTGCTCAGCTCGCTGAGCACACCCTTGGTTTGCATCCCTCCCGCCAGTCCACTACTGGGGACAACGAGACTGGGGTCCACTTCATGCTCCCCGTTTCCTCTAATGAGCATGGGCTCATTGCTCCAGGGGCCGCTGTCTGTAGCTCCCTCGCTCCGGACTACACATGGCCCCCATACGAGCTCCCAGGGGGTGGAGATTGGGGCGCCCAGCACCTAACCAGTCCCCCTGACCATGGGGGACATGAACGCATGGGGACCCCCAAGGACGGAAAGCTCAGCACAACAGAAATCTCTGGTCGTCAACGAGCCTTCTAAACATCGGGCGGTTTATCCTGGAAACGGCCCACGAGTGGCACGGCTAACGGGTCAAGTCCCGAGAACTAATAATCAAGTCACAAGACAAAAGGCGTCTTGGTGTTTCCGACAGCCCAGCATTTGTGTTATGACACGCATGGGCCACTTCCCCACCCGACGTCTTGGCCCTGGGTGTCTCTGAAGTGGCCCTGGTTTGGGCAGTCCTGACCTCCGGGGGCCCCTCGAGACCCTCATGAGCTTTGGGCCTTGCAGGGCTCAGCTTAGGGGCCTGAGGGCTCTGGCTACGGCCTGCAGGGTCAGCCCGTGGGCGGAAGTGTTCACGCCCTGAGCCTGCTCCACAGCGATGCCCTCCCTCCACATCAGATCATGATATGACTGAGCAGCTGCATTTCACAACGTTCAGCCAGGATGCTGAAGCCAAGGAGACCACAGCAGAAGTGTGTGAGCCATCAAGAAAAAGGAACTCTATTGAGAAATGATTTCATGTGAAATAGGGAATATCAAGAAACGGAAGCAGGCCAGCTCTGAGTCACAGAAACGGAAAATCCAGTAGGAGGCTTCGGAGTGATGTCAGGGAGAAAATGTCAAGTAACACGGAACAGAACAACGGCCGGGAGAGCTGGGGGTGTTCTCTGGGTCCCCCTGCTTCTGCGCTGGTCTCACTGTGTTTCATGTTTGTAAACATCCCCGCCCCCCAAGGCTAGTCGCAGCAGTGGCTGGTCCCAGGGGACCCGAGGCCCCTGGTCACCTTCTTTTCTAGGGCCGGGTCCTCCTCAGCATCTGCTCAGAGTGTGGGGGCCCATCCAGTGAAGTGTCCCTGCCTGGTAATCCCCAGTCTCGTCCTGTCACTCTTTCCAGTGAAAAAGGGTGGCCAGGCCATGACTCATACAGAGCAGGTGGCCCCCCCCAGCCCTGTCCCAGCTCCCTCAAAAGGAAAACAAAACCTCCATCCTACCCCAACAGGAAGCATGGTTGGAGGCTATTTCCTGTGTGACTAGTGACAGTGGCCCTGGGAGGCTGCTTCAAGCTTCAAGGCCGGCTCTGCCCATGGGCCTGCCCCCCCTCCACCTCCCACCCCCTCTGAACTCCCCAGGGCCTGTCATTTCCATCTCAAAGGGCAGCCCTTCCCCTGAGCCCTCGCCAGGCCGCCTGAGCTTCCTTGGAACAGGCTGGAGTCCCATGCCAGTGGTGACAGAGGGCAGAGGTGGAGAGCAGCCCCTCTCAGGCCCCATGCCTGGCCTGGTGCCAGGACGTGGTGGCACTGGGCAGGGCCCAGCAGGACCAACATCCCACACCAAGCTAGGCCTTCCTCCCAGCCTGCTCGCCACCACCTGTGCTCGGGCCCACGGGCTGGAACGTTCTAGAACAGTTCCCACCTCTAGCAAGTCTCCCTACAGCTCCCGATTCTTCCTTTGTTCTGGAGAAGGAGCTCATTTCCTGCAACACAGGCCCCCGCTGACTGCTGAAAGCCCTCGGAGGCCCCCACTGCCCACCCTGTGTCAGCCTGCCACTGGAGCCCCAAGCCCCGGCGCCGTGATGCACTTCTAGCCGTCCTGGCCCCAGCGTGGGCATCTGGGTGGGGGTCCAGGTGGCTCAGGGTTTCACAGGCACATCACCCTGCTGAACTGATGCTTCTCTCTGGCTGCATTTGGTCAAGTTCCCTCCAGTATTAAAGACCCAGCCCCAGCTCATGGCCTTGTGCTGGCCATGAGCCAGGGGGGCCGTTCTGCCTCTGGACTCCCCTCCTTTACACCCCAGGAACCTTAATCATGCTGTGTTCTGCTTCACTCAATAGGGGCCTGCATCCCGTTAGCCAGCGTGAGCCTGGAAGCCATGGAGATACCCGTCTCTCTGTACCTCGGCCCAGCCGGTGTCGGGCACACACCAGGCCTTAGCCCAGACGCGCCCTCTGCCCGGCTGGCTCATCCCTTCTGGACCACCACTGTCCCCTTTACTCTCAGTATTTTTACGTCACCTCCTGACATAACTAGCCTACATTTGTTTGCTTTCTGTTTGGTGCCAGCCCCTCCCAGGGGAATATAAATCGCATGAGGCGAGGCAGGTTTGCCTGCAGGCTCCCTGCATACACGCCTACTGGGAGAGTGACTGTCCAGGAGACAGAGGCTAGTAAGTATCTGTCACATGTAGGAAATGAGTCTGGTGATTACTCTTCTTCTTTGTAGAGGTTTCAACTTCTTGTAACGCACATGACTTTTGGAATCAGAAACAGCTAATGAAATACAATGGAACGACAAGTCAACATTCATTCCATGTATCTTGTTTTCCAAATGCATTTCTCTAGTCTGGATAAATAGCAGGAAGTCATTTTTAGTTACAGTCTGAGGCCCACCACATTATATGCTCAACGTGCTAAACATCTGATTTCTGAATTCCACTGCTTCCATCACGGAGTGAGAGCGGCCGAGGACGGGAGTCTAGACTAGTGAGCCGCTGGCAACACAGAGAATTTGCTTCCCTCTAAGAGAAAAGTGCTGTGAGCCAGGGGGCAGAGCATTTTTTCTTTTGTGTTGTTTTCTTCTGCAGTGATAAGGAGGGACAGAAACGGAAAGGAAGTGGTAAGCACCCTCTCCCCCAGGTAATGGCGGCAAAGAGGAAAGTCTTCTCAGTGAGTCAGAGGGCTCACCTCCTTTCTTTCTTTGAGGTTTGTCAACATGACGATGGTTGAAGACTTCTGTTCCCAGATCATCCTCCAGAAATCATTAACTGTTTCCTGCTTGGGGCCTGTAAGTGGAGGGGGATCCCAAAGTCAGGCACAGAGAAGTCGCTGCAGCCCCAGCCCCTGGCCCCCTGGCCTTTGGCCCTGGGACAGGGACAGCTGCTCCCCAACTTCTCTGAGACACTGAAGGGCTGGTTGGGCCAGTTTGTGCCCCACAGAATTCCAGAACTGTGGGCTAAGAGGGACCTTGCGTTCCCCAGCCTCTGCATGGCATCGGCCGCACTTCCCCGCACCCCGCTGGAACTGGGGCGGCCTCAGGGAGCTAAGTAATGGACCCGGCTGGGTTATATTCACGGGGAGTAACGGTGTGAGAGCTGGGTCTAAAGCTACGTGCCCAAGTGGTTTGTGGTCATTTGGGTGCTGGTTACAGTCTCAGATATCAGACCCCACTCCAGAAGCACTGAATCAGAGTGTGTGTGACAGAGAGAGAGAGGGATAGAGAGAGAGAGAGAGAGAGGGAGAGGCCAGTTTAACCCTTTTCCTTTGTGAACATCTCATCTGTCAGTTACCCATGAACTGTGGGCTTAAGTTTCTAGTGAGGGATGCTGAACAAAAGATAAAGTGGCCCTGGAAGAAAGTCCTCTGGCTTCTGCCTGAATACAGAGACAGTGCCTGGAGGTGTGGCAGCCACTTTGTGATCCTGAGGGTCAGAGCAACTTAGCGCTGAGGAGGACGATAAAGAGATCCCTGAGCCCTGAGCTGCTGTCCGGGCCCTGGGCTGCCGCCTGCGGGATGTCTGCTTACAAGGGAGGCCAGAGCTTCCCTCTGGGGAGGCCTCCTGACTGTTACAGCTGAGCGCGTCCCTGACATCCTCTGGGTGTATGTGCGGCTCCCTCTGTCCGGGGAGTCTGCATTTTCACAAGCTCCCAGGTGACTGTGATGTACATGGCACTGGGGGACCCTCTTGCCCAGGAGTGAGGAAGTCTGGGAAATCTAGTTTCAGCTCCACGGCTGCCTAACTGCACCAGCTCCTGGGTGGGTGGGGGATACGCTGGAGTGAAAATTCTCAAAAATGCCAAGTGGATTACGTGCAAGGTGAAGGGCGTGCTTTCGTGGATAAAGCAGCCTCTCGGCTCTGGCCACGCCCTGAAAAGCTGCTTGCTCCCCCCCACCACCTCCCCCAACCCAACAACTGGGGAGTCATGCAGAGAGCTCAGTCAGCTGAGAGAAAGTCAAGATTACCTAACCCAAGTATCAACACGCGGAAATGGTGACCACTGGGCCACTGGGCGCCCTGTGTTTGAATCACGCAGGTGTGGAAGTAGGTGTGTAGGTGTGTGTGTGTGTGTCTACACGTACACACTGGTGAGTGCACATCTAACATGTCTGTTATACCTATGTTTGCACATGACAGACGCCCCACAGACCCCACCTCCATCTGCCCTGACCACAGTGGGGACAAGTGTTCTCAGGGGCCCTGACCCCTCTGCTCTTGAGCAGCTGCTGTAGGAGAGCTGCATTGTCTCACACAGCCTCGCTTCTCACACTCTCACGAGCAGAGTGACCTGGGCATGCTCGCGAAAATGCCAGTCTGACCGCAGGCCGGGGCGCGGCCTGAGCGCCTGCATTTCTCACCAGCTCACAGGAGGTGCTGACACCTCAGTGGAGCAACCACACGTCATTAGGAAATCACGGCTGCAAGTAGAGGCCCAAGGCTCCGTGAGGTCCCTGACACCTTTCATTCCGTGTACGGAGGGACAAAGGCTGGGCAGACCGGAGCTGGGCAACATGTGCCTAACAG